TATATATATTTCTTTTTTACTGTATTAGTAATGCATATAAAAGCATATTCCAAGTATCAGGCAGGCCAGCAACGCACCAATGGCTGCAGTCATTTCGAGCATGGATTCCACTGTATTTGGAGGGATGAGCATCCTTCCTTAGCTGCGATAGGAATGTGATGTCAAGCAATGTGACTAATTCCTTGGGAATTATTTCCTTCACTATGGCTTCTTGTGGTGATGCCACGTATCTCGATGCATTCAACGGCCGCGACTCTCCGGAGCAACTCTTCGTGTAGGATCCGCCCCATTCATTTGCACTTGTTTAAGGGAAAAGAAAAACAGGAAGTTGAAAATTTATGTAAGTACCGCCATGACGGGTGCTTGTAATTGAAATAACTATGTTAATGAGAGGAATCCAATGAGCTCAATATCATTCAGTTTTGAAGCGAGTAATATACTTCGATGATGAAGGGAGTGTTGAATTAAAATCAGAAAAGTTCTAAGAAGGTCCTGAGCTTCACCGCTCATTTGATGCTAATGATCACTATCAACAATCATCATAGCTAGCTTATCATCATCTGGTTGTTGTTGTTGCCAGACAACAATTTCCCGATCATCATTATAGGAATATTATTGCTTGAACATTGTAACTCATTCATTATTGTCAAAGCCTGTCATTCAGCTGATGTTATTTGACTAGTCATCATAAGCATCTATTACTTATTCATCTACTACTACTACAATTATAAGCGATCAAACTAGTAGGTCAAAATACATAGCATTGTTACCTATCAATAGGTCAATTGTTATGCAATTGGTAGTAACATAGTTCTATAGCTTGTTTATCCTAAACACATAGCATAGTTACCTATCAATAGGTCAATTGTTATACTTATCTTAGGCAATATCATTCTTAAAGAATGACCAATAAATTTTATTTTTGATTGGAAAAATAATTCATCACTTTCAAAATATCCTACTACTCATAAATACAACTCACAAATAGGAAAACCCTCGAAATGCCTGAGAAAATAATATAATATGTATTATGATGTATCAACTTGTTATAACATCATTATGTGTTTGTTATCTATTTAGGTTTTATTTGATTTTTTTGAGCTCTAACTCTCACAATCAACAAAAAAGACAAGATGCCATTAAAATAAAGAGAGAGAGAGTGTGTAAAGACAAGATGCCATTAAAATAAAGAGAGAGAGAGAGAGAGTGTGTGTGTGGTCCTATTGAGTGTGCCAACTAAGACCTCTTAGCTTCAATAAACAAGTCATTTCATTCACTACATTCAAAAAAAGAAGATACCAATGCTAACAAAAGTTCAGTTTAGAAATAGACATCCTACCTAATTATTGTAATAAAGGAGTATGTAAAACATGGCCCTAATCTTTTAAGAAAAAATGTATTTACATTATTTTTTTACAATCTTTTCTCTTTGATGGGTAAATGAAAATTTACTATTAAACTACACATTAAGGTTATAAAATGTTTAACAAAAGCAACAAAATATTAAATTTATTAAACTATGCATCTACTTACTGGTAATGAGAAGGAGAGACCCCTTGATAGAAAACCTTCTTCGTATAAGGATCAATGCTGGATCTAACCCAATTGGCCCAAGTCGTTAGAGCTTTATAAAATGCTAATGTTCTATCCATGTCTTTTACTATTTGATTACCATCTTGAATATAATCCCATCTACAATAAATAAATAAATAAATAAATTATATTTTTGAGGTGTGTTTAGATACCAACCATCCAAAACATTAAATATAATATTTTAGTCATCCAAACTTAAAAATTTAAATTTTAACAACATATAATATTCAATGAACTAATAGAGGGTGGATGTAATGAAAAATGAGAAATTTTGGGTAATTATATTATATTAAATGTTTTGGGGGTTGGTATATAAAAACCCTCATTTTGAAATAACTTAATAAATACTAAATTAAGTTAAATAATGAAACATTTTGCTCTAAAATCTATCTTTATTTTCATATATTTTTGAAAAAAAAGGGAAAGTGAAGTACGGTTGCGTTGCTCCATTACGTGACCACCAATGCCAAGTATTAAAGATGAGCATATCGAACTTGAGCCACTCAGTGCTACCTTGTAATGAGTCAAGCTTCAGGACTCGTCCAATCTTCTCATTGACAATATCAACAAGATAATGTGACAAGTAGTATGATACCGTGAGATTGAAGTCCTGCAATCATTCAAGGGATTGAAGATGATGCATTATATTAACCTTTAATTAACATCAAAGTAAAGTAAAATAAAATAAAATAGAATAGAATATGATACATGTGATCTTAAACAAGACAAATGTTAAAAAAAAACATTAAATGTTTTGATACCTTTTTTGTAGGAATGCTTTTTAAGAAAATAAAAAAAAATTGCATTTCAAAATTTAAATTATATATTTGATTAATTTATCTATAATTGAAATGGTGTGCCAATATATTAAAAATATTTACAATTTTTTTAAAGATAGATAATAAATTTTGAAGATTTTTTTTTTATTTTGATGTAATGTATTAAAGGAACAAATTCATGAAATTTGTAATAACTTTTTAAATAAAATGTATATATGTGAAAGTCAAAAATTACAATATTAAATTCAATAAAGAGATTTTTATGTTTTTGGTTAAAAAGCATGGTACTAAGAAAAGGTTGTACTTGTCAAAAAGTAAAAAACCCATCTTTATGCATTCACATGCTTTTTGTCCTAAGAATGGGGCCCACTAAATTTCTACAAAGTAACCAACCCTAGATCTAGAGGCTGCATAAATCTTTAGGAATAATAACAAAAAAATGCCCCAAAAATATACTCAAATAATTAGGACAATATTTATCACCAAACAAAAATTATTATTTTCATAAAACATCTATATCTATATATATATATATATATATAT